GACCCCGGTCTTTCTCCGATTCGAATTATCGAGATGAGACCCGGAGCAAGCTTTATTATGCTCGCAATAGTAGCTGCTGTGCATAGGCATAACAACCAACCTCTATCCCATTACTTGGGATATAGGAACTCCTACATCCTAGGTTTGAGGAAAATCTTTTCCTTATTAAATAAAACAACAATGCTAGAGGGCAATAATTTTTGTGGCCACAATAGCTCAAAATTGTCAAAACGACGTCGTTTTGGCATGTTTTGCACTCAAAATGACGTTGTTTTGGCAGTTTTGAGCCATTGTGGCCACAAAAATTGTGGCCCTCAAACATTTTCCTAAATAAAATGTTACATTTAAATGAAATTTCATAGTTAATCACTGTTAACACTTGATAAAAATAAATCAAGTGTTTCACGTGACAATTTTAAAATATTAAAAAAATAATACTAATAAAATTATATTTGTAATACTCATAATTCTTTTCAAATTGCATTTTGATTCATATAATTCATATAATTTGGCATGTATTATTTTTTCAAGTTTACAATGCCAAACAAACAATGGACCGAAGAATAAAATTCAATTAAAAAATTGTACCATTAAACTCAATAGTAAGGCAATGTTTATTTGATGAAATTAGAGTATTTGCATCAACCTCAATAAATTTTGAGTTAAATTATAACTCAAATCCACTTTTGTTATTTTAGCTAGTCACCTTTTTAGTGTTCAGTACATCAAACTTTCTATTCTAACTCAATCTTATTAAAATATTAATTTCTTATTGTATTTGTTATTCTTTTTATTATTATTATTAAATTGATGAGTTCTCACCCAAACAATTCTTAAAAAATGCAAAAAATAAAAATAAAAATTGCCATTGACCGGTTGACCAACCGGTCGACCGGTTAGACTAATTTTGGGCATTTTTCTCCTTCTGCTACAGGCACTCACGGGACATTCGACTGGACGACCGGTTTAAAGATTTTGGCCCAATTTTGCTTCAGAAAATATAATAAAAAATCATGTAGCCAATGAACAGTGTCTCTTTAAAGTTGTTGAGGTACTGTAGCAAATTTAACAAAAAGTTAATTTACAAAAAAATTGTTGAGACTGATAGAGGAAGGATTTGATGATTTACTAGCTATATTTTACATTTTTGTTATTTTGCCTCATCTGATGCGGATGCTCTTATGTCTGATGAAATTATAAATATGGTATAATTAATTAATAGAAATATATATATATATATATATATATATTTGGTAACTAGGTGTCTGAATTAGTTTACGTGCATGTTGATTAATCTCAAGGTCTTGAAATTAAAAATCAGACAAACCTCCAATGGCCCTAAGCAGTGACAGAGCCACATGGAGGGCGCGGGTTCATGTGCCTCCCCTGGGTTTTGGATTTACATTTTTTTTACATATGTATATAAATAAAATTTTAAATAAAAATAATATTTAGAATAAAATATCAATGGTATTTCTAAATTTATGAGAACAATAGTGATTGTTTTATTGAAAATAAAGGGGACTACAACAAATTATATTTTTGTGTAAAAATTTTGTAAAAAAAATCTCAATATAAAGGTAATATTTATCATTATTGATATATAAATATAATTAATCCCATTATATATATGTAAATGTTACTAGAGTATTAGTTATATTTGCATGTGGAATTACCTTTCATATGTTGCTTTACTATTAGTTGATGATATCATATGTTAATGATAACGTGATAGCACTGTTATATGAAATTTTTACCCAAATTTTGTAAAAGTTTAATTTATTTTATCATTATATAATTTATTTTAAGACTTAAAAATATGACTTTTTTTTTACATTGTCCATGATATATTAGTTATACGCAATACTTTCTTTTAGATTAGACTCAAAGTTAATTACAAAATTTTATGTGAAATACTTTTGTAATAATTTGTTTAAGTTTTTGTACTTAATATTAATTCAAAAATTATTATTATCTTCTTATTGTTGGTTATGGAAAAAAAAATTGAAGTTGTAATTAATAAGTGCCCCTTTTGATTTAGTTTTCTGACTCCGCCATTGGTCCCAAGGTTTGAGATGTTTAGCCTTTGTGGGATTTGACCCTACAACCTCTTAAGCGGGTAAGTGTGGTAGTATAAATTCGAGATGTAAAATAAAATGTGTTTATTATGCTGGTTTGGTAATGATTTTTTTGGGTTAAAATGGTCAATAAAGACAAAATAAGCAAAAATAGGCAATCTATATACTATTATAATTTGGGGGACTTACATGTAAGTCCAAATAAGTGGGCTTATTGTCCTAATAAGTGGATTTATTATCCAATAAGTCCTATAATAATCAATGACACTTTTCATTAAACACTATTAAAAAATATCACTAAATGTCAATTTTTAGTGACAATTTAAAAATTTTGTCACAAAAAATGTTACTAATTATAAGTTTTACCGACAATTTAAAAAAATTGTTACAAAAAAATACTAATTTTCAATTTTTAGCGACAGTTTAAAAAATTCATTACTGAAAAAATCACTAATTATAAGTTTTAGCGACACTTTATAAAAATTGTGACAAAAAAGTCATTAATTGTCAATTTTTAGCGACATGCAACAAATTGTCACAAAAAATTAAATTTAATGACAATTTAGTAGGACTTATTTTTAATAAGATTTGATGGGAATTAAGTCCAATTATTAGGACATATTAAAAGTTTATCCTTACAATTACAAAACCTTGTCATCTTATTAAGGCTGAAAGTTGCAATTGGTTTTCCTCAATTTTTTTGATTTTGTTTAATTTTTGTTAATATGTATCACAATATGATTAGTTTATAAATTAATTTCATATTCTTAAAATAAAATTTTAAATTTAGATTCTTCCTTAAATTATGTTACCATAATTGGAATAAGATCACTATTCATTCTTTAATTTATGCATCCCTTATTAAATTATAAAATAAAATTTAAATTTAAATTCTACTTTAAATTATGTTATTATAATTCAATATTTAGGGATATCATACTGATGTGTCATAATATTATTGATTTGAGCATAATATGTTATTAAATACACATGTTCAAATTGTTAATCGCTATTAAAAGTTTATATATATATATATATATATATTTGTCATTTTTGGTTTTAAAATATATTTTTTTTTTTTACATCCTTCTAAACTATAAGGAATTGAACAATAAATTTTTTTAATACAAATATTTTTTTTAATAAAAGACAAAAAATTAAAAAAAATGACTTTTTTAACACTTGCCAGACATAGTGGATTCTGTTATTTATTTATTTATTTTTATCTCGATTGTCAATTAAACAAATTAAAATAAAAAAATAAATTTTTGACTTAAATAGTTAAGAAGTGGCTTTTGCTAAAATCAAATAGAAATAAATATTATTTTCTTATTAAAAGTGATAGTTGGTGAAACTTATCTTTTTATATAATAAAAAAATAGAGTTACACCTGATAATTTATTGTTCCAACAATGTTACAGGCCCACACTTTCACCTACAATGATGTGGCAAGGGAGTTGGGTCCATGTTATTGAATGTATAGCAAATTAAGAGTTGACACATATGATACCACATTATTGTGGGTGTTTTTTGCGGATCTCAAACATTTTCCTTATTGATATAGACTTTTCTAGTACTTGTAAATCATGGTGGATCCTGTTAATTTTTTTTTAAAAAAATCTCAATTGTCAATTAAACAAACTAAAATAAAAAATAAATTTTTTTGGCTCAAATTGCTAAAAAGTAACTATTGTTAAAACAAATAGAAATAAATGTTATTTTTTTTTATTAAAAGTGGTGGTTCGTAAAATTTCATTTTTTATTAAAAAAATATGAGGGTTATATAGTTAATAATTTATTGGTCATCTAGAATTATTTTTAGATTAAATAAGAATACCATTCTAAATTTTCTTTTTACCTTTTTTTTTATTTTTATTTTTTTTATGTTGATACTGTTATTGTAAAAAAATTCTAAAAGGTGTATTTTTTAAACATCATAAAAAAAATCTATCGAAAAAACATCTATTGAAAAAACTTAAGCATATTGTTTTTACTTTTGTTCATTAATACTAAAATTTTAATTTATCTTATTTATTATTTAAAAAAATAAATCAACAAATAATTTTATATATTTATATATGCAATTTTATTTTGATTGCTCAGGTTATTTGATGTCTGTACAAATCCAATAAAATTTATTCGAATTTTTGAATTTTACATAGGTCCTCACTGAATTAAAAATTATGTTGCCCAATCTTTAAAAAATTCCAAACTTGACTCAAGTTACTTGGGTTGAACTCACCTGAGTTTACAATTTTAGCAAGGAGGTTGAAAGTTACATGATTGAAGTTGTGATAAATTAAAAAATTGATACAAAATTGTGATAAAATTGTGAAACTTAAATTGTAGGTTTCAAAATTTTTTTTCTTCATAATTTACATACAAAAATCTAACTATTTATATTATTTTATATAAAAACATTTTATTAATTTTTTCACATCCCGTGCATAGCTCGGGTTTTCACTAGTAAAACAAAATATTACATTTAAACTATAATCATTTCACTTTTTCTCTTGCAATCATCAAATCAATTACAAAAAAAAAAAAGAAAAAAAGTCAACAAACTTCTCAAACATAACTTTTTTAATCAAGCTAAAATAGTCAAAAAATTTAAAAAATTAACTAAAATAACCAATTTCTCAAATGAGCAATATAATAGTATTAATTAGTTAAAATTAAATTTACAAAATTATGTAAAAATTGATGAAAGGTAAAGTAAAACTAAGATACCTTTTATTCAATACAACTAAGAGATTACAAGTCATGTTTATATATCAGTACAGGTAACAAACTAACAAACTATTAACCTAACCACACTTCTAACTAACCACACATCATGTAACTATGTAACTAACTAAAGTTGTTACAAACTAACTCAAACAGTTAACAACAGATTACATTACACTTTAACAGCATATTACATTACACTGAATGAACCTCCTCTTGGACCTCTTGGACCTCTTTCTTATCAGGCCCCCGCAAGCTGAGAGGGGGAAGACCAACACGAAGCTTGGAAGTGAGAAAAGAAAATCTGGCAGTGGACAGAGATTTGGTGAAGATGTCAGCCAATTGATCCAAAGAAGGAACATATTTGAGACAGAACTGGTGACGAGCAACCTTTTCACGAATGAAATGACAGTCCACTTCAATGTGTTTAGAGCGGCTGTGAAAGACCGGATTAGCAGCCAAGGACAAGGCAGACATGTTGTCACACCAAAGAACAGGTGGAGATGGTTGAGGAATGTGAAAATCAGCAAGAAGCATTTGCAACCAAGTGAGTTCTGCAGCAGTGTGTGCTAAGGACCGATATTCAGCCTCGGTGGAGGAGCGAGACACAGTGGACTGTTTCTTGGAGGACCAAGAGATGAGATTAGAACCCAAGAACACACAGTAACCAGAGGTGGAATGTCTGTCAGTGGCATCCCCAGCCCAATTAGAGTCAGAGTAGGCTGTGAGATGAAAAGAACTAGGAGCAAAGAGAAAACCATGAGAAATGGAGCCTTTAATGTATCGTAAGATACGTTTCACAGCAGAGAAATGGGCCACAGTAGGGGCATGCATATGTTGGCAGGCTTGGTTGACAGCAGAAGAGAGCTCAGGACGAGTGATAGTAAGATACTGAAGGGCACCCACAAGGCTGCGATAGAGAAAAGGTTGGGAGAATGAGAGAGAATCAGCAGCAGTAACAGAAGGTTTAGCGGATGAAGGAGTAGCACAAGGCTTGCAGGTTGTCATGCCAGCTTTAAGAAGAAGCTCCAAGGCATATTTCTGCTGGGAGAGAAAGAAGCCTTGAGCAGTGGACTGAACAGAAATACCTAAGAAATAGGAAATATCCCCTAATTCTTTCATGGAAAAAACATTGTGCATTTGAGTTAATAAGGAATGAAGGTAGGATGGATCAGAACCAGTAAGAAGAATGTCATTGACATATATAAGAAGAAAGGTAATGGAAGAAGAGGTAGAATGAATGAAGAGAGAAGAATCACAACGACTCTGAAGAAAACCTTTAAAGAGAAGAAAGGAGGAGAAAGTAGAATACCAGGCTCGAGGAGCCTGTTTCAAACCATAAAGTGCCTTGTGAAGTTTGCAAACAAGGGTAGGCTGAGAAGGATCCACAAAACCAGGAGGCTGTTCCATGTATACATCTTCATCCAACTTGCCATGTAAAAAGGCATTAGATATGTCAAGTTGTTTTAGAGGCCAATGATGATGAAGAGCTAAAGAGATAAAAATGCGAATTGGGGGTTGCTTGGCCACAGGGCTAAAGGTATCATGAAAGTCAATACCATGTTGCTAATGAAAACCCTTAGCGACAAGTCGGGCTTTGTGCCGAGCAACTGAGCCATCAGAATTCTTTTTAACTTTGAAGACCCATTGACACCCTATAGCTTGCTTAGAAGGGGGTAGAGAAACAAGAGACCATGTGCCTTGATGTTGAAGAGCAGCATATTCATCAAACATGGCTTGGAGCCAGACTGGAGAGTCAAGAGCAGATTGATAAGAGAGGGGCTCAATATCAGGAGAAGGAGAGGAGCCAGCAGGAGAAGTGAGAATAGAAGAGAAACAAGTAGAATGAGATTTGGATCGGGTTTGCATATGATGAGAATTGAGAGTAGCAGGAGGAGGAAGAGGTAAAACAACAGAAATAGAATTAATAGGAATAGATGGAGGAGAAGGATCAGAAGGAGACAAGGCAGAGGAAGGCTGTGCAGATAAAGGCTGTGCAAATTGGGCAGGAGGAGCCAGATCAGAAGACTGAGGTTGTGAAGATGACTGTGGTTGGACAGATGAAGATGCTGGCTGGGAAGAGCACTGCGCCTGGACAGATGTAGACTGTGGCTGTGTAGATATAGGCTGAACACTAAACTTTGAAGTCAGAGCAGATTGAGAATAACTATGCTGAGGAGAGGGTGACCAAAAGAAATCCTGTAAAAGAGGAAGAGAAGAAACAAAAGAAACAGAAGTAGAAGAAGAAAAAGGAAACTCGTGTTCATGAAAAGTAACATGTCTAGATAAATGAATATGACCAGTCTGAGGATCTAAACATCTATAGCCCTTAACACTAGGATGATAACCTAGAAAAACACAAGGAGTCGACTTAGGGGCCAACTTATGAGAAGCATAAGGTTTAAGCCAGGGGAAGCAAAGACAGCCAAATACTTTTAGTAGAGAGTAATCAGGAGAAGTATGATACAACAACTCAAAAGGAGAGCAATTATTAAGAGAAACACTAGGTAAACGATTGATCAAATAGGTGGCAGCAGCGATGGCATCAAACCAATAAAGAAGAGGCATAGAGGACTGATGAAGAAGAGAAATAGCAGTTTCAGTGAGATGTAAGTGCTTCCTCTCAGCCACTCCATTTTGAGAGGGAGTATGTGGATAGGAAAACTGATGGTGAACACCATGAGTGTGAAGATAATGTTGAAGAGGATGATTCTTGTATTCACCACCTTCATCACTACGAAGAATTTTGAGAGGAAAACCAAACTGTTTTTCCACAAAAACTTTGAATTCCATAAATTTGGCACACACTTCACTTTTATAAACAAGAGGATAAAGCCAAGTGAATCTGGTAAAATCATCAATGAACAACACATAGTATTTTGTAAGGAGAAGCAGATTTATTAAAGGGACCCCATACATCACTGTGAATCAAAGCCAGTGGATTAGTTACAGTGGAATTAGACAATGTAAAAGGTAGCCTATGACATTTGGCTACAGAGCAATGTACACAAGAAAAGGTACTTTTATTGGAAGCTACAGACAAAGGTAATTTGTGTTTAAGAAAATGAAACTTAAGAGTAGAAGGATGGCCTAATCTCTGATGCCAAATGCCAGTAGAAGCAGCATAAGTAACTGAACTACTGTAGGCATGTGAGGAATCAGTGGTTGGAGTGCTGTAGGCATGTGAGGAATCAGTGGTTGGAGTGTGGAATTGATATAGTCCATTGGCATAAAAACCTTTATGGAGGATGGCCTTGGAAAGCTTGTCCTGAATAGTAAAAGAAGAATGATCAAATGTGATAGAGCAGTTATTATCTTTAGCCAAGTGATGCACAGAGACAAGATTAGAGTTAATAGAAGGTACATGCAAAACTTTGTTTAGTTTGAAGGAATGGTGAGGAGTAGGTAGTATACCTTGACCTGTATGAGTGATAGGAAGGGAATAGCCATTACCAATAGTGACTTGATTACCAGCAGTGTAAGGTTGAATGGAGTTAAGTTGATGAAGATCATTGGTGATATGATCAGAAGCAGCTGAGTCCAAAAACCAGGGAGAACAAGAACCACTGTCCTCAGTTAAAGAGGTAACATATGCCTTTGATTGCTGAGACTGATATGGCTGAGAGTGAGACTGATATGGCTTTGATTGCTGGGATGGAGACACTTGTGAAGACTGCAATTGAGTATCTAGTCTATGCCAACAGTCAAGAGCTATGTGATTAGCTTTACCACAGATTTGGCACACAATGCCAAATTGTCCTCTTCCTTGAGATCTGCCATGAGAGGATCTTCCTAAATAGAATCGAGTGCCTCTATGAGCACCTCTAGAATCACCACGAGAAGAACCTCTGTTTTGATGATAAGAGTTAAATCCTCTAGAAATATTAGAAGCAGCATGAGAGTCTGTCACAGTTGCATAAGCAACAGTTAGATCAGAACTATGTTTTAATTTTCCTTCAATGTGAATAGCTTCGGAACAAAGTAGAGCAGAGAGATCCTCCATAGAAATGGACTCTGCACGAGTTCGAATAGCTACTTTAACTGCATCATATTCAGAAGGCAATCCATTCAATGTAAGAAGAACAATATCCTCATCTTCCACAAATGACGAAGCAACACGTAATTGATCAACAATACTTTTGATTTTGCTCAAATACACCTCCATTGAATCTGATTTCTTTGAAAAAGAACTCAATTTGTTCTTTAACTGGTGGATATGAGACCTAGAGAGAGAGGTAAAACGTTTATCAAGAAATTGCCAGACCTGAGCACTGGTGTGAAGATGTAACACAGAAGTGAAAATCGCAGGAGAGAGAGTAGTAGTGATGCAGCTGAGTAGATGCGCATCAATCATCTTCCATTTAACAGCTTCTGGATTTGGAATTTCTATTCCGGCAGACTGTCGTATTGTGTCAACAGGACACTTCTTTGAGCCATCAACAATAGGGAGGAGATCTGTGGCTCGAAGTAGATTCTGTATTTGATTCTTCCAAATAACAAAATTTGAGCCATCCAGCTTCACTGTTACAAGAGAACTGAGATTTGATAGTAGTAGATTGAGATTGGAAGGAATAGCAGAGGACTCCATAGATGAAGCTTGAGAATTGCTCGCGAGAGCTTCTTGGTGCTCTGATACCATGATGAAAGGTAAAGTAAACTAAGATACCTTTTTCAATTAAACTAAGAGATTACAAGTCATGTTTATATATCAGTACAGGTAACAAACTAACAAACTATTAACCTAACCACACTTCTAACTAACCACACATCATGTAACTATGTAACTAACTAAAGCTGTTACAAACTAACTCAAACAGTTAACAGCAGATTACATTACACTGAATGAACCTCCTCTTGGACCTCTTGGACCTCTTTCTTATCAAAAATTACGTACAATTTACTTTGTTAGTTTTATGAAGTAAGTGATAAAATAATAGTTTAATCACCAATACAAGAGATGAAATTAGCAATCACAACCTTAATACCAACGTTGGAGGAATTTAGTCTCCTATGAGTAGGTCTGACTCTGACTTTTTACTGGTCCAGGTTTTTAATATGGGCCTTTTATACATAGAAAAGAAGAATCCCAAAATAAGCTTGTAATATGCACTGATATTTTAATCATGTTTTTTCACAAAAAAGTCTACTTCTATGTATAACTATGAAAATTTTATTTAAACATATAACAATGTTAGAGTAGTACCCCAAAAAAATGTACAAACTATATGACAAAGTATTACTTAGACATCAACATTCTTGCATTTTTAATTATAAGATTAGTAATCATGCTTACATAATTAAACTTATCAACAAAATTCATTCAATTTTTCTCGTGACATAATTGACCGAAGGTAATTTTCTTTTTCCAAAAGCAATTGTAATAATTATAATCAATGATATATTACACACAATTTATACATTTGATAATCAACCATACATCAAATAATTTACCACTTCAATCAAGTTTTTTGGTTTCATTTTGTGGGCCTTTTTTAATGAGCAAGTACAATAGTTGACATTTTTTTGAGGCCTTTTTCTCAACCAATTTTTTGGGACCTAAAGCGGCCGCTTGCTCGGCTTTCCCTCAAAGCTGGCACTGCCTATGAGTTTTTTCGGCAAACAAACATAGGCTAGTATACTAATTTAATCCCCTTCTTCTGTAAGCACCCAAATTCCAATCAAACATGGCTTAATAATGTAATAAGGAATATTTGTGTAACGTGAAGTTTTAGAATGTAAGTGAGAGGACAGTGCGTAAAGAAAGCGTAGTGGCGAATTCCGGCAACCTTTTCGGCCATCAAGATACTCCAAACTCTATTAAATCCATTGAAGAAGAGGATCACTTGGTCCGAAGCACCAAAAAAATTAAGAGCTCTAATCTCCTCGAACACACAAAGATGGACAATGAAAGGGTTATGGAGACTGAAACAAGAGAAGAAGGTCTTAGCCCAATAGATCTCACAGCTCAGGAGACTATACCAACTAAATCCTTGTAGAAGGCTCTGGCTATGACTAGGAATGATGACTACACATTTGATAGCATAGTGGAAATACTCTCATCCGATGAAGAAGATGATGAACATGAGGGACCAAACTTTATTGTACACTTCAGAACATATGGGTTTGCCCACCCTCCCTAAGAAGCTCCCTGAGAAGATCAGGAAACCATGGGAGAATGCTCTAATCATCAGACTCTTGGAGAAAAGCATTGGGTATAAAATGTTTTGCACTAGAGTGAAGAATATTTCCGGACTCCAAGAAGAATTTATTGCCATTGATTTGGGATGTAACTTCTTCCTCTTTAAATTCTCCAACCAAGAGGACTATAGTAAGGTCTATACTGGAGGATCATAGGTGGTTATGGATCACTATTTTACTGTTAGGAGATGGGAACCAAATTTTAAACCTTC